AACAAGTTGATAAGTTTTATCAGAAAAAAAGATGTCCAATGGGTCAGGCTGATCTGGGATAGATACTACCCTGATGGAGTGCCTTATTTGAGAAGGGAAAATGGATCCTTCTAGTAGAAGGATATCCTCAGGCTGCACATATAGTACTGGGGAGTAGCAAGATGCAAACCACACATAGGAGACACAGCGAGCCTCTAGGATGATTTGTTGCTGGATTCTGTTTTCTCCCTGAAATTTTCAAATCTCCACTCATTTGCTAAAGAAGCTGTTATTTCTCTGAAAAGTGTAAGAGAAGCTAATAATATTGTCGACCTATTCAGAATTCCCATGTCAAGGCAGGCTTACAATGAACTATTACTTCTAACAGATGATCTTAATGAGTTGAATAGCAGCCCTATTGATGGAAAGGATGAGTGGATATTCATGTGGGGAAATCAGTCTTACTCTGTCAAGAGATTTTATCAGCACCACTTTGTAGCTATTAGACCCCCAGTCACCATTCAATGGATTTGGAAGGCCAAGTGCGTAACTAGAATCAAGTTGTTCTCATGGCTTCTTCTGAACGACAAACTGAATACTAGAAACATGCTGAGGAGAAGAAATTAGTTATTGGAAGACTACAGCTGTATCATGTGTAGTGACAATACTGAGCTTATTACAGACACGTGTTGACGCGTCGGACCGGCGACCCCGGTCAGCGACTTATTACAGACGCGCGTTCGTTCGGCGTCTGTAGGGGGGCACTGGCGGATATTACAGTTTTTTACATAGTGTGGAGATCAACTTTGTTCAGGCGTCTTACAAAAAATCAGATGCATGCTACTTAGATCCAAATCATAATATCCCTCCCTTTCTCTTAAGCTAGGTTCGAGCCCAACAACCATGCAAACTCTGCTTGAGACCCTCCACCGTTTCAGTAGTAATACTCTACTACTATCAAAAACGAGATGGCGCTTCCTTAGCTTCTCTAGTTTACAGAAATCAACAGTTCTGATGATGATTCGGTGTTTTTTTTATTGCTTCAGTATTCAATACTTTCTTTTCGTTCGTTCATTATTCTGCTTTTTCTCCAGAGAAAGAGGCCACGAGTTGCTGCAACAGGCTACCAGGTGCAGTGCAGTACAGGTCGCAGGTAGTGATGGTGCGGTTGGGAGGCGCAGCCGCGGGCGGTACGTACGGTGAGATACCGTAGGTGCTTAAGAATGAACGAATGAGTGAGACAGAAATGGTCATGAAGTAGTTGGATGCTGCGGCAATCAGGTACAGTTGATGGTAGATGGACTAATGCATCGGTGTGTAAAGAGTAGTGAATTGATTGTCTAGCAAGCATGTACCAGCTGATAGAGAGCATGAAAGCAAGGAAAAATACTGGAAAAAAATAAAAATACTGACTACGATAGTAACTAAAGGTGAAAAACTGAACATAAAATTACTGATTTCAGCTGAGGTACAATACTCAGTACATCAAGAATATAGTACTTCCTTCAAACAATGGATAATACGGGATTCAAATAAGCATATGAAAGTGAACGTACTGAGAATACTCAATCGTACAAAAGATACGGAGTGACGGAATGTATAATATATGATAAAAAAAAACACACATGCAACCCACCCCCTTTATCTCTCTTTTCCCATTACACAAGCTTGGGTTATACTAGTATACGGAGACACGGAATTCTTTTTCTTCGGTTGGTGGGCCTGTGCATCCATGGGAGAGGCCACGTGGGAGGACTGGTGACGCGTGTCCATCTTAATATTCTTGGATCAGCACTGCTTCCCATGGAATTATTGTTGAGCCGAGAGGCTTTGGACCAATTTTGAGGGCCATTGGACATAGGTCCATGTGCGCGACCCAAATTAGGGTCGTCCGACCTCTCTGCCCACTTCTAGCTCGACTCGTGTTGTGATCTTCTGCGTAACTTTCTCGTCATGACTCCGAATTGGATCAACCAAAACTTGATTTTGTGTATCTTGAGGAGCTCTTTTGACATGTTGGAGTGAATTTTGGCATTTGATGATGTGTTTTACCATGCCCAAAGTCACCTTGTTTCTACATTCACATAGTCTCACCAAAACTTTTGGAATTGATTACAATTAAGCCCTATGACTATGGTGGATGTCATTTATATTCTCATTTTAGGAATGGTTGATGGTAGGAAATAAGGAATTAGTAACCATCATCATGTGGTACCCTACTTTCAGTGGAGAATGCTTCTCTTGTATCATATGCTCGGGTTTATAGGGGCGCTGATGTGTCACCTATGAGGTGTTGATCGTATTTCACGGCTCACCCCTATCTCCCCTTATATAGTCTAGGGCAAGGTTACAGATGGTATGCCGAATGATATGAATCTACGGTTTCCTAGTTTGTTACAAAGAGATCCTATTGGATCGATTGGGTTATCACGATTTGCTTGGTCCCTATGCTATCTAGGCAACATCTTGTCTTCCAAGTTGATGTGTCCTGTCTAGTTTGGGCGTCTTCCTTAGCAGGCTCGGCCCATCCTATCTTGGCCAAGCTTCTCTCCATTCGGCGAGGGTAACGGGCCCCAAAATACCAACACCGCCTATCTTTGTCCCAAACCAAACCGGTAGTAAAGATGATTTTACCGCCAGTTTTATTCTCAACTAAGAGGATATATTATCATCAATATAATGGTTTTAACAATACCAGCGATGTATGTTGATGGAAAAAACAATTTGTGTAATAGTGACGGGTTTGTTTGAGCTGTTAAACTTCTCATTCGTCTAGAAGTTGTTGCATCACCCACTTGTTAAAATGCGACCGGCTTTATTTAGAAATAGCTACCTCATCCACCTCAATAAATCCATTTGAGCTTCGTGTGATATTTTTCCCCACCTCCTTGAGGTGACAGCATCACGATGTTGCTTGGGAGACGATGACAGATAGATATTGGAATGCACTCACAGAAAAATAATTCATCGATTTTCAGGTCCATCACGATCGACAGGTTATAAATACAGGCTACTCACGGCAACCTTTGCCGGCAGCAGGTCGGGGTGACCTCGGACCATTTGGAAAAGAAGCATTTTGAGAAGAGGCTCTTTGTCATCAGGTCATTCTTATTCTCATTCGCACATATGCATACTCCAGCATAAAAAACAAAGAACTCGATGGCATCCCTTTCTTGTGTTTTTTCTCCTATTTTGAGAGCATATTTCCTGCATAGTTTCTGATGTGAATGCTACGAAACTACTTGCTTTTTGTTACCATTTCAATCATCTGCTTAAGATATGACTTAACTTCGCATCGTTCTCTTGACTAGACTTTACATAGCATCAGAAGTACCACTCTTGGCTGACTAGTATAGAAACGGTCAATACGTCATTACAAAAGCTGGCAAGTTCTCATTTCACGAAGCCTCCCTTAATAGAATCATATGTCCATAGATAAATTATTGATCATCATGTGCGGAAACATGTGTCTCCAATAGTACATTATTTTTTGAACCTAGACAAATACTTCCTTCTAGAGGTCAGGATAAAGGCGTAAAACTTTAAGACAGGCAGAAAAAAAAACATATTCCATCTCTGATCCATTATTACAGGCCTAGTCCATCATTTAGTTACCACACAGGGCGCCTGTGGTGGATCTAGAAAGGGACAAGGGGGGCTAAATAATACTCCATTCTGATCATAAGTTGTAATGTAAAACGCAAATTCAAATGACTCCATTCTTTGTATCAATCTAGATCATATAGTTTTCTTTTGCCCTTCAGATCCATCTCCACTAATATTCTCTAACATCTCCAGTACAAAGGACCACATGAAAAAAAACATGTGCCAATGCTTTGTGACGTGTACCCAGCCCACCATGTATCAGTAGGCATAGCAAGACTAGTTTCTTAGTTTTACCGTCTCACAGGAAAAATAGCACCACCACGTAATTGCTCTACAAGCATCTCATAATGATTTTGAATGAGTTGATCGTTCCTCTTGCAAGAAGCACTAACAATATTGACAATCGAGAAGTGACATAATTAAAGAAATCAAAGGTTGAACCACAACACTTGGCTACAGAAACTACCGCAAGCTGCAATTGATGAGCAAAACAATGGCTGTAAAAAGAAAATGGGTTTTCATTCAATACAGTCTATGTAACCCATGAAACTGTCCTCATATTTGAATCACCATCATATCCTTGGCCTCTAATTCTGGACATAGATAGACCATATCTTGCAGTCAAAGCATCCAATGCTTCCTTTAGTGAAGGTGATGTGGTGTCATCAGAAACATGCTGAATGCCAAGGAACCTCTCAATTACATTTCCTTTATCATTGACAAACATACAAGAGAAAAGGGGAAAGTATAGTTAGTTGAAAACAACAATACAAAACCAATGAAATATAAAAATTAAGAAGTGGTATATACGTCACAACCATAGCCATTTGTTCCTCATCAACAAGCACCGTAGAAAAACTATCACCTATTTCAATTTTAATTAACTCACTTGTCTCTTCTGTACAAGCCCTAACCAAATCTATCTGAACTGCTGGACAAATCATTTGATTATTCCTTGGAGCATTTTCACCGGTCACAAGTGCAACACTAGGATCCTTCTTTCGATATCATTGAAGCATCTCCATAAAGTTCGCGTTATTTATTGATGTTTTAGACTCATCATGTCCATGAAAGGCTAGAGCTTGCAAAAGGAGAAATCAAGCGATACCTAACATGATAGTTAAACGCCTCCTCTGCTACTGCCCTTGTCACATTCCACACATGTTCTACACTTTACAAAAGGAGAAATTTAGTTGATGATTGGATTCAATAGCTCACCGTGTAGACAGGAGACAACCAAACAGGATCATAGGAGTGCAGCCGTGCGCTTGTGCTACCATGCAGGAGAGCAGGGCTGAGAAAGTGAGGAGGCCAGCACCAGGAGGAGGGGCAGCCGGCAGGCGACCTGGCAGCCTGGACCTAGCCACGCACCCGTGCTAGAGAACTGGCTCAGCTGGCTGGCTGGAGACCTGGCCATGGCTGGCTGCGGCTTGGAGGAGGCGGTCAGGAGGCTTGCAGGAGGCAGCCGCAACTATGAAGGCAGCGATAGCGATGCTGATCGTCAGGAATGAGCTGGCACGGCGTCGGTACTCACGAATTGTGACTTGATTGAGCAGGGAAGTGGCTGAACATCGGGCTCCTCACTTGTATCGGGCGCCTGCTATGGTTTGGATGGGGGTTGTCGGGCTGGATCTGAAGACCAGCTCCATGTTTTTTTTGGCTGAGGATAGGGGCTGCAGGACAACTCTAGGAGAAAGATTGATTTACGACAACTCCAATACACACCAGTTGTTTTTCTTTTTATAAAATTCCATTAGACTTAAATAAAAAGATTGACTTAGGACATCTTTAGAAATTGATTTATTTGTGGCTTGAGACTGTTTTGTCATAATGTGTTTACCTAATCAAATGATTTGACTTAGGACATCAGACTTAAACCTTTTTTGTCATAATCTGTTCTATATCTGTTTTGTCATAATTTGTTTACCTAAAATTGTTTTTTATGCAGAATAATACCACGAAGTAATGTCACAGTCCGGGGCCTCAAATGTTTCTAGGGCCTTTCAAAGGCGAAACATTGCCAGGGATCAATTTGAATCAGCCGTTGAACAGTACTGTCTCTATCTTATCTTCAAATGCCAAACATTGAAATCAGTCCCTTGCTAATGTGTGGTGATATGTGACTTAGATGCTACTCCATCTGTTCTAAATTATAAGTTGTTTTAAATTTTCTAGAAATATAGTTTTATATGCATCTAGATACGTTGTCTACATATACAGTAAAGATGACTATGTATCTTAAAAAGCTAAAATGACAAAATTTGTAACAAAGGGAGTAGTAAATGTCTGTGTATTATCTTTAAATTAAATGCCAAACCGTGAGCCCTGTCACTAGAGCAAGGGTGTGAAATTAAAACGTTCGACGGGAAATATAACTAAACAAGGGCTGGACCTCGCTGCTCCATCAATGTGGCAGGACGTGCTACACTTCCAGGGTGTGCATCGTGGCAGGTTGGCGATTAAGTGAAAGAGAACGAGACATGAGACAGTTAGGAAGTAGTTTGCAGTTGAAGGAAGGAGCAGATATGGATGGATGGATGGAGATTCGGTGGTTAAATGTGGCCTGTTCGTTTCGCTGAAAAGTCATGGCTGAAAGTACTGTTCGCTGATTTATTGTAAGAGAAAAACACTGTTTCTTCGCTGAAAGAGTACGGTTCATAAGACAAGCGAACAGGGCCACTACAATACATACAAAAATACAATATCTCAGTCAACTCAGAACAAGACAGATGCCCTTTAGTTTTAACACTGAGAATCTGAATAGTTCCATATATGATATCGATGGGCAATGAATTGAACCGTTTTTAGCAGCACCTTTTATTAGTCCATAGACTATGACACATTCCTCCTGTATAGGGGTCATTGTAACTGGTGTATATTTTGAGTATGGCCTTTCTCCCAATTTGGCTGGAGCCTTGTTGCTTGCATCTGAGCAGATGTTCTATTGGAGTTTGGCTGGGGCTCAAGGCATTTATATTCCTCTTTCCCTGGATTCTGCTGGCAAACGGTTTGGTGTGTATGGTTTCCTGGTTGAGATCATAGTTTGCTCTGATCATGGGGCGTGGATGAATTTCTAGATTCTTGGGTGTCTAGGATTGTTGTTGGGGTTCTTGTCCTTTTCCTTCTCAATACAAACACATGCCGCTCTTTTTAATGTGTGTGTTAAAAAAATATACAATGCCTCTATAAAAGAAGTGTATTGATATATTATACTACATGCTAACAGCCAAACAACAAGATGCCACCATTTATCAGAAGAGGCAATTTGTCTTGTTCTTTTATTCGAAACCTTCCTCCTAACTGCTTGGAGGCCCGAGTGCTCATTTTGTTTCAGATATGAGAAGTACCACGACATACATGGAGGGGACAAAGAATTCAGGAAGTCGAACTATGCACATATGGTAGATACCGTTCTTTCAATTTCAACCAAAGTTAAATACATACTCAAATGTTGACAAGTTTCGGAGCTAAATGTGTGCATTTTTATTATACTAATCAGGCAAACACTTATTATGATCTTATAACAAGATTTGTTGAACTTTTGTGGGGTCAATCATTCCATTTCGCCCCAAGGTAATGTTTGAGCTTTGCTCCAGTTGCAACATACTAGACAACGTACATTGCCCATGTCAAAATTATGGCTTCAACTCTGCCTGTGTATCCTTTAGATGGCATGGTGAAACACTTGGCGAAAGCATCAAGCGGTTTGAGCATTTTATTGCCCTTCAATTGGGGCTCAAAAAGGGGATGAAGGTTGGTAAAAAGAAAATAATACAACATTGTTAATTTTGCAGAATAGAAGTTTGAGCTTTTTTTTATGGTGCTTGGATATGACAAGTTTTTAAAATAATACTACGACCTATATCTGACATAAACAACGGTTATGTAAAGATGTATTTTAAAACAAATATTAGCATTTCTTTTAATAAATTTTAATCACGATCTATCTAAATATGCCCGTAATTGATAAATAGACAGACATGAACCTAGCTAGTCTACACTGATATGACTAAAAGTGGTACGAAAATTGTGTTATCTGCTTGTGAGCGTTAATATTTGGATCCGTACAAAGTTCAGTCTGAACAATGTTTATCTTCAAAAGTGAGTTGGACATAGAGATTTTCTACTATAAATAATTTACAAAAAACATATTATGTGGATCCGTAATACTGTTTTCTCTACCATAAATAGAGTTTTGTCTATTTGTGAATATTACTATTTAGTTCTGTACAAGGTTCGTTTTGAACAATATTTATCTTCAAAGTGAGTTGGACATGGAGTTTTCTACCATAATATTTTAATGAAATCATACTATATGGTATATATTTATCCACACTTGGTGATTTGCCGTCAATGAAGCCTTTTTCCACTGACGCATTTAGTGTGCCTTTAGGGGGTTTTACATTTTGTTATCAAAGGAAGTTTTCATAAATTCTGAATCATGTCTTCCTTGTTAATCTGCAGGTCTTGGATGTAGGATGTGGAATTGGGGGGCCCTTAAGGGAAATAGCCAGATTCAGGTAATGAGTTAAAAAAATAAACTGCCATATTATACAGATGTCTCAATGCTATTTGTTATTCTAGCTCAACAGATATAACTGGACTGAACAACAACGCTTACCAGATATCAAGGGGCAAGGTTTGGTTATTCTGACTTATTCTTCAAGAAGTACAATATTAAACTTGTTAGCATATATACTTTTGCGTCAGATGCAATATAGGCTATTTGCATTTCAGGAGCTCAATTTTTCGGCCGGTTTGAGTGAGCAGTGCAACTTCGTAAAGGTGAAGTTGCATCCGTTATCAGTAAATTATAATTTTTTTTGTCGGGTCATGACCTTTCTTTATACTAAAATCTAATGTGCCTTACTATCTTTTTTGGCAATTGTAGGGAGACTTCATGAACATGCCATTTCCTGACAACACCTTTGATGCAGCCTACGCAATAGAGGCCACAATTTATGCTCCTGATGTAGTACGACTCACAAAATAAACTGCAAGCTAGAGTTATGTTTTTGAGTGAACTCACAGTCCAGTGTTGCTGAGATTGTTTTTGGTATCTGGCTATTACAGCTAGGTGCCTACAGGGAGATATACCGGGTGCTGAAACCTGGTCAATATTTCGCACTAGATGAACTGTGCTTGACTGATAAATTTGATCCAAACAACGCTAAGCATAGGGACCTCAAGGCAAAAATTGAGCTCGGCTGTGCCTTGCCTGACGTCCGTACCACTCGTCAGTGCATCCAGGCTATGAAAGAAGCTGGATTCGAGGTGCTGTACTAAAACCATCAGGCTATGGTTTCAATGAGACAGATCTAGGTCAAATTACTTTGGGATATATAGCGAAATGACTCTTCTGTTTCATTTTAGATTGTCTTGGCGAGGGATCTTGCTGAGGACTCTCCATGCCCATGGTACTGGGACATAGATGCCCACCTTTTCTCATGGAGCAACTTCAGTTACTCTGGTGTCGCAAAGTTCCTCATGCGTGCAATTGTAAGTTACAGGACTGTACTGAGACATGTTTTTAGGTAGTCGTATAATCTGCAGGCTTTTGTGGGTAAGAATGTCTCAAGCTACTGCTTTATCGTTAATTTTATTGCAGGCTGGTACACTGGAGTTCCTCCGGATTGCTCCGAAAGGCAGCAGTAAGCTTGCTAGAATCCTGCATAGTGCATCCAATGACCTCATCATAAGCTGTCGGTAAGTCTTGAAAGGAAACTACAATGTCCTTATCAGAATCATAGAGTTGAGCAACCAAAATAAAATTTGAAAGAAATAATGGACGATGCATGATCACAGGGAACAGATCTTTACAGTGACCTTCTTTGTCCTTGGCCGGAAACCTCTCAAGGAAAGTGATGTTTAAAGCAACCTACAATATAATGTCTAATGGAGAAAAGAATAAAGTTTCGTCGGATCCTTCTCCATTAAGCCTTATAAGATATATATATACTACGGAAGATGCTTGCTTGCATATGTAATCATATACAGTACAAGATTACTGATTGTGATGTATTTGAAATAATCATATTTGCCTTCAAATGTTATAGAAGATGTTTGTTTGCACATACACTATACCAGATTACTAATTGGGATCGTCTATGTGGAATAAGTATATTGCAATGTTGAATTGTGACTCAAATACTACTTAGATTAGGATCTCCCATAATGCAACTACCAGAACGCCCGCCCGTGACTTTACGTCCGGACGCGGCTCCCCAGGAGAAATCCCCATTTGAACGGACGCCTCCGACCGCTCACTCCAGCACGTGATGCTCGCCCTCCCTTCCTCCTACCCATTCTTATCCCTTCCGCTCTCGCACCCTGCCCCACCCCGACTCGCGGCCATAGCTACCTCCCTGGCATGCGGCGGCGCCCTCACCCACCCCGGCGTGCGCGCTCCCCACCCCGGTGTCCTCCTCCCCTACTCCGGTGATTCCTTCCCCCACCCCAGCGGCCTCATCCCCCACCACGGCGGCGCCCCTCCCCCCACCGCGTCATCCTCACCCATCGAGAGTGCCCAATGCCTACGGATCTAGTGGCCCTCTCCCCCACCCCGGCGAGATCCATGGAGGTGGCGCAGCGGTGTTGCCGGGGAGTGGGCGCGGCTCTCCCCACCCCAGCGCGGCCCCACCCCACCCCTGCGATGCCCTCTCTCACCCTGGTGACCGAGCTCCCTCCCACTCGGCGGCCGAAATCGACTACCCCAGCCTTCTCCTCCCCTATGTTGCATGTGTATGTTTCAAATGTTTCAAGAGTTTCAGATGTATGTTGCATTTGTTTCATATGGATGTTGTAAAAATAGATTGGGGGATGTTGCATATGTTGCAATTGTTTTAGAGGCATGTTGCAAGCATATGTTTCAAGTGTTTCAGTTGTTTCAGAGGTATATTTTATCTGTGTTTTCCGGATGCATGTTGCAAGTGTGTTTATCTGGATGTTGCATATGTTCCACACATACGCGTTTCAGATGTATGTTGCAACTGTTGTACTTGTATGTTTCAAAAGTAGATCTGGTATTGCATCTCTCCTCCCCACCTTCTGCTGCATTGTCTCGATGTGTCCTCCTCCTAGCGCCAGCAGGGCATCCATACAACGCTGCGACCGGGTCCTTCCGAATCGGAGGCGCCACGCGCCATTCCCCTCTTGTCGCACGGGCCCCGCGTGGAGCGTGAAACGGAGGGATCAGTGACGTCTGGGCGTTTGCACTACCATAGGATCAGTGGTGGAGCTACAGGGTGATCCCCTGTGGGCTGCGGACCACCTGTGCTCGGCCTGCCAAGGCCCATAGGATCTGGAATCCGGGACATCCAAGCCTCTGTGAGCCTGTTTGTCGCTCCGTCTTTGCGTTTGTCTTCGTCCCTTTGCAGCGATGCATCCTATTCTTCTACTAGAGTAATGGTAAAATAATACAATTGGAAGTGAATTATGGTAAAATATACCAAACACCACCAGCGTGTTCAAAATTGCACACCATGTGGGAGCCATTAGCAACTTAAACAATTATGGTAGAAAATGTCACCCCTAAAAGATCTGCTGCTACTTTTTGACGAAGAAAGGCATGCGAATTTTTCAAGTCAATCAGTATAAAACTATGTCGTGGCCGTAAAAATTGCATTTAAACCTCAGTGTCATGGGAGTATGTTGACTCACAAGTCACATGTGGAGTATGTGCACATGTGATATGATAACAAACAACTCACAAGTGTCTAACTGAGGAACAGCAGAATCAGCAAGAGTTCCCAAATCTCATGAACCACATCAAGCTGCACTTTGGTTACACATGAATCAAATGCTACTTTATCGAGGACAACACGATCGAGATGCTTGTTCAATTTGAGCACATCAAGCTTCTGATCAGCCACCGCCGAATCCTTTTTGTGGCATCCACGAATCTGATGCCACTTGGAGAAGCTTCCAGCTCTGTGGCCCATCACATCCTTGAGCTTCTTGTTGTCAGAGAAGGGATGCAACCAGTTTTGGTCGAACTCTGAGAAACGCCTCTGGACCTCTTCGAGGATGAGCTTTCTCTTGAGATCTATGGCACTGTGGCTGCATAATAAATGGCTGAGGTAGGGTTGCAGCAGTTCAGACTCCTGGGTCGTTGATCCACAACACAAATCGATCAAACTGGAATGGAATTACGGAATCTCAAGCCCCAAATGGAAGCTCATTGATAGAATTCACGTTAGACCGACCAATTATATATAGTGTTCAATCGATGGATGGGATAAGGGGAACAGAAGACGACCCATGATCGAAGAATCTGATACCAAGATTATATAGGGATAAATAAATAAGAGGAATAGTTCAGAGAAAAGCAAGGGCAACTTTGAGGAGTTCGAGTTGAGTTGAGATTGAGTTCTCTGTTACACTTATACCTTGTTTGTTCACCTGGAGCTTTCTCATCAACTAAACAGCTACAGCTAGTTGCTCCATTCTGGGCTGCTGACCCATAGCTTGGGGGGTGCTGAACGCTTGGTCACCCCTGATCTGATCATCATATGGCCTGCTGACACACAGTTTCGTCATCATGTCAGAAGGCTCTCTACCAGTGCACAATTCCTATTTTATGCTGGAAGATTGCAAATTGTGAACTCAGTGCTTTCATCCCTACCAGCCTACTATATGTGCTCCCTAAAACTGCCAGTAGCTGTCATTGAAGCAATTGACGAATATAGGAAAAACTGTCTTTACAGGCAGTGATTTCAGAAAGAAAGGGTACAACCTTGCAGCATGGAAATTGGTTATGAAGAAGGAGAAGGAGGCTTTGTGGGGCTACATCAAAATGGGTTGTTTTCAGTAAACTCAATGTACAGAGCTTTATTAGGAGTAGAAGCACCATATAACATTTTAATATGGAAACTTAAACTACCTCTCAAAATCTAGGTCTTTATGTGGTACTTGTACAAGGGAGTAATTCCCCAATTTTTTATAATTTGGCCCGTTTTTTGAACAAAATTTATATTTGACCTCCTGAGAGACTTAAACTCATCTTTGGACCCTGGGATCGGTCTAACGTGAATTCTATCAATGAGCTTCCATTTGGGGCATGAGATTCCGTAATTCCATTCCAGTTTGATCGATTTGTGTTGTGGATCAACGACCCAGGAGTCTGAACTGCTGCAACCCCACCTCAGCCATTTATTATGCAGCCACAGTGCCATGGATCTCAAGAGAAAGCTCATCCTCGAAGAGTTCCAGAGGCGTTTCTCAGAGTTCGACCCAAACTGGTTGAATCCCTTCTCTGACAACAAGAAGCTCAAGGATGTGATGGGCCACAGAGCTGGAAGCTTCTCCAAGTGGCATCAGATTCGTGGATGCCACAAAAAGGATTCGGCGGTGGCTGATCAAAAGCTTGATGTGCTCAAATTGAACAAGCATCTCGATCGTGTTGTCCTCGATAAAGTAGCATTTGATTCATGTGTAACCAAAGTGCAGCTTGATGTGGTTCATGAGATTTGGGGACTCTTGCTGATTCTGCTGTTCCTCAGTGTCATGGGAGTATGTGCACATGTGAATATGATATCACATGTGGAGATGTTCTGGTTTGTAAGCATCGTACGTGACAACGTGCAACAAACCTTCTCAAATTTTTATCATAGCCTCCACATACGATATCACTGACATTTCAACAAGTTTCATGATTTTCGGACTTCGTTTGCTTTTTATAGAATTTAAAAACACTTCGCACGCAAGTTCGCGGTCATGTTTCGTGAATAAGATGTCCGAAATTTCGGATCTGTTCCTGGATACGGCCTCACACTACACTCAGTAAC